TCCCGCGATGCTACCCTACCCTTCCCCGCCCAAAAGTCGGAACCCTGGAGGGCGAGAAGGGCGCGGCCGTGGAGGGGGGAGGGTGTGGAGACTCGTCTCTGTGTCTGTTGTCGCTCCGACCGCCTCCCCGTCGCTAGCGGAACATTGAGAGGGAAGAGTCCCGCCGTGTGCCGCGACTCTCCCCTCGCCCCGCTACCTCTCTCTCCTCACACGCAGACGCCCCCTCTCTCGGGCCACCTCGGGCAATCTCCCACCATCTCGGGCAATCTCGGGAAATCTCCCACCATCTCGGTCAACCTCGGGCAATCTCCCATCATCTCGGGCAATCTCAGGTCATCTCGGGCAATCTCGGGTCATCTCGGGCAATCTCGGGTCCTCTCGGGCAATCCTCACACGCAGACATCCCCGTAGTGCGGCGCGTCGCCGCCCGCGAACGCGCGGCCGGCGAGGCCCTCGCCGACCCAGGTGCGTATCGCGCCGCGCAGCGCCTGCCGCTCGTCGTCGATGGCATACTTCTTCTTGATCTTGCCTTGCGCCATCCACATCGCACACGCGCCTTGGGGGAGAGACGGGGGGAGATCTGGCGAGATCGGGGGAGATCTGGGGAGGCGTGCCATCCGACGCGCCGACGACTTGGTTCGAGAGGCGGTCGGCCTGCAGGGAGATGTGGGGAGATGTGGGGAGATATGGGGAGATATGGGGAGATGTGGGGAGATGTGGGGAGATCTGAGAGTTGGTTCGAGAGGCGGTCGGCCTGCATGGAGATATGGGGAGATCTGGGGAGATCTGGGGAGATCTGGGGAGATCTGGGGAGATATGGGGAGATATGGGGAGATATGGGGAGATGTGGGGAGATGCGGGGAGAGACGGGGAGATATGGGGAGATATGGGGAGATGCGGGGAGATGTGGGGAGATGTGGGGAGATATGGGGAGATGTGGGGAGATGCGGGGAGATGTGGGGATATGTGGGGAGATATGGGGAGATGCGGGGAGATATGGGGAGAGACGGGGAGATATGGGGGGCTCTCTACTGTCCCCTAGCATCTACGGCGGCTGGCCGTCGAGAAGTGAGGTACGTCCTGCACATACCCGAACGCCTGGTACGCCTAACAGTATCGCATTCGCCGTCCTGGGACGCAGTGCTGCCTTCGGACTGTCGCCGCTGTCTCCCCCCCTTCTCGACGGTCTGTGCGGGCGCGTCTTGCGCCCCGGCCTTGTGCTTTTGCGTGAGGGCGCCGGCATGAGGGGCAGGGAGGACGGTGTTGTGAAGCGGCTTCAGAGCACCGGCGTGGAGTACGAGGGGGGTGCGGATACGGCGGAGGGCAGCGGGAGACGCCTCCTGCCCGAGCGCTGGCTGGGAGACAAGAGAATGGGTCTTCTCCGCTTCTAGCGCCCGAGGTGTGGGGAGATGTGGCGAGATGTGGGGAGATGTGGGGAGATGTGGGGAGATGTGGGGAGGTGTGGGGAGATGTGGGGAGATGTGGGGAGGTGTGGGGAGGTATGGGGAGATATGGGGAGATGTGGGGAGATGTGGGGAGATGTGGGGAGATGTGGGGAGATGTGGGGAGACAAGGGTACTGCGGTACCGCCCCCTACCTTCCCCTGCCATGAACCCACACCGCCCTGTCCTGCCCACCCTGCTTGCACCGCCCTGCCGTGAATAGCCGAGCCGTCGCGCCGTCTCGGAGAGCCTTCCGGCGCCCGTATCTCCCGCCTCTGGCGCCGGCACTAGAGCATCGGCGCGCGCCTCTCCAAAGCTGCGGGTGATGTTTGGGAAGAGGAGGACGGCGAGCTTCGCGTCGCTCCACTGCGCCCACTCCATCGCCTTTAGCAGATCCGGGGCGGGTGTCGGCCGCAGTCATACCTCCCCGTATCTCGCCACATCTCGCCACATCTCGCCACATCTCAATGGGGCGTGCGTCGGTCGTAAGAGTGCCCGTTGGATGGATGCAGCCGTCGGATGTCAATGCGACGCACTCGCACTCTGGCTGTGTCACATGCACATGCACATGCACATGCACACGACATGTGCATGTGCATGCGCATGAACATGACATGCGCATGGACATGTCTACATGCACATGAACATGCGCATGTGCTGAAGGGCTTCGCCCGGAGTGTGCTGAAGTCCCTCGCCAGAGTGTGCTGGACTGTGCGCAAGTCCCTCGCCCTGGGCGTGATGCGCGTGCGTGCCCCCGCCCGATGTCACTTCCTACGCCATCGCCTGTGGCGAGCGGAAGGCCTTCGCAGCCTACGTGCACCATGCCCTCCACAGTCTCGAATCCAGTGTGGGTTCGGTCCCATGGGTGGTGTGGTAGCAACTGTGCGGCGTACTACCAGCCTGCGTGCCCAGTGCACCCGCCTCAGGGCGGGAAGCCGCGGTCTTGTGCAGTGCGCTGCGAATACAGTGAGGACAGCCGAACACGGCCGAATGCGACTGAAGACATGTCCGCTTGAGAGCGCTGGTTGGAAGACGAGAATGCGTAGTTTCCAGGTAGTTTCCGCGTCTAGGCGTCGCCGCCCGCGCCGGCCGGAGCGCAGCCGCGTCGATCGCGTCAAGCAGCCTTTTGCGGACATGTCGCGGACATGTCGCGGACGTGTCGTGGGCGTGTCGCGGGCGTGTCGCGGGCGTATCGCGGGCGTGTCGTGGGCGTGTCGTGGGCGTGTCGTGGGCGTGATGCGCGTGGACGTGTGGAGCGGCTCCAGAGTCGGCGAGCCGCGGGCCCGCTAGGGCTGAGCGGAACGCAGTGCGCAGCCGTGTCGTGGCAGGAAACGTCTCGGAACGTGCCGTTCTGCGATGACGGGAGAGTCGTTGATCTGCTCCGGCTCGCCGCCCGCCGGCGGTGTGAGCACCGCGATGGGCACCTTCCGGTACTCCGACCTAAAGGGCGGGTCGGTTCTTCCGGCGTGGCGTGAGGCGGCTTTGCGGCACGGCGGCGGCGGCGGCGGCGCCACGGCTTGATCTCCTTCTTGGTGAGCGGGTTCACGTCCACCGTCTCGTACTCGAGGCCGTGCAGGTCCAGCAGCGCCTTGATCTTGTTGCAGAACGGGCAGATCTGGCGGCGCGGGTGGGCAGATGGCGGAGCTCAGGCGCGGGAGGGCAGGCGCGGACGGCTGCGCTCTTCCGCGAGCGCGACCTGGTACTGGTAGAGCCGAATGTGGCCTAGCGTCCCGGCGGCGGCAGCAGCGGTCGAGAGCGGTCGCGTCTGCGGCGTGAGCGCCCTGTCGACGAAGCCGGCCGCGAGCAAGCCGCCGCCGCCCGCGGCGATGCGGGTGAAGGCTCGCACTGACATTTCGATCTTATCGCCGCGCGGTCGCGGCTTAGTCGTTTCCCAGAAAGAATTCTTAAGATACAAGCCTCTCTCACAGCACACTGGCACGACAAGAATTTTTCGCAGGGCAAACAGTGGCCAGGGGCGGGGCTTGCATTTTTGCCGTCGCCAGTCGCCCCCCCAAACGCTACACCTACAGCGGGGGCGGCGGCGGCGGCGGGGGCGGCGGCGGCGGCGCGACGGGGTGGGTGGGGTGTGGGGAGGTGCTGCTGTGTGCGCTGCGCGTGCGCGCACCGCACACCATACTCGAGTACGGCGGGAAACAGACGGCGAGGGGGGCGC